ATAGTAGTGAAGTGTATAGTGTAGTGTATAGTGTAGTGTATAGTAGTGTATAGTGTAGTGTATAGTAGTGTATAGTGTAGTGTATAGTGTAGTGTGTAGTAGTGTATAGTAGTGTAGTGTATAGTGTAGTGTAGTGTGTAGTGTATAGTAGTGTAGTGTATAGTGTAGTGTATAGTGTAGTGTATAGTAGTGTAGTGTATAGTGTAGTGTATAGTGTAGTGTATAGTGTAGTGTGTAGTAGTGTATAGTAGTGTATAGTGTAGTGTAGTGTATAGTGTAGTGTATAGTGTAGTGTATAGTGTAGTGTATAGTGTAGTGTAGTAGTGTATAGAGTAGTGTGTAGTGTAGTGTATAGTAGTGTAGTGTTTAGTAGTGTAGTGTATAGTGTAGTGTATAGTATTGTAGTATATAGTGTAGTGTATAGTGTAGTGTGTAGTGTATAGTAGTGTATAGTGTAGTGTAGTGTATAGTGTAGTGTATAGTGTAGTGTATAGTAGTGTAGTGTACAGTGTAGTGTATAGTGTAGTGTATAGTGTAGTGTATAGTAGGGTAGTGTATAGTAGTGTAGTGTATAGTAGTGTAGTGTATAGTAGTGTATTGTATAGCAGTGTATAGTGTAGTGTATAGTAGTGTATAGTAGTGTAGTGTGTAGTGTATAGTAGTGTAGTGTATAGTGTAGTGTATAATGTAGTGTATAGTAGTGTAGTGTATAGTAGTGTAGTGTACAGTAGTGTAGTGTATAGTGTAGTGTATAGTAGTGTATTGTATAGTAGTGTAGTAGTGTATAGTGTAGTTTATAGTAGTGTAGTGTTTAGTAGTGTAGTGTATAGTGTAGTGTATTGTGTAGTGTATAGTAGTGAAGTGTATAGTGTAGTGTATAGTGTAGTGTATAGTAGTGTATAGTGTAGTGTATAGTGTCGTGTATAGTGTAGTGTATAGTAGTGTAGTGTATAGTGTAGTGTAGTGTGTAGTGTATAGTGTAGTGTATAGTAGTGTAGTGTATAGTAGTGTAGTGTATAGTGTAGTGTATAGTGTAGTGTATAGTGTAGTGTAGTGTGTAGTAGTGTATAGTAGTGTAGTGTATAGTGTAGTATAGTGTGTAGTGTATAGTGTAGTGTATAGTAGTGTAGTGTATAGTGTAGTGTATAGTGTAGTGTATAGTGTAGTGTATAGTGTAGTTTATAGTGTAGTGTATAGTAGTGTAGTGTATAGTGTAGTGTACAGTAGTGTAGTGTATAGTGTAGTGTATAGTGTAGTGTATAGTAGTGTAGTGTATAGTAGTGTATAGTGTAGTGTATAGTGTAGCGTTTATTGTAGTGTATAGTAGTGTAGTGTATAGTGTAGTGTATAGTAGTGTAGTGTATAGTGTAGTGTATAGTAATGTAGTGTATAGTAGTGTAGTGTATAGTAGTGTAGTGTATAGTAGTGTAGTGTATAGTATAGTGTATATTGTAGTTTATAGTGTAGTGCATAGTGTAGTGTATAGTGTATAGTAGTGTAGTGTATAGTGTAGTGTGTAGTAGTGTATAGTGTAGTGTATAGTAGTGTAGTGTATAGTGTAGTGTATTGTGTAGTGTATAGTGTAGAGTGTATTGTATAGTGTAGTGTATAGTGTAGTGTAGTAGTGTATAGAGTAATGTATAGTATAGTGTAGTGTATAGTAGTGTAGTGTATAGTAGTGTAGTGTATAGTAGTGTAGTGTATAGTAGTGTAGTGTATATTAGTGTAGTGTATAGTAGTGTATTGTAGTGTATAGTGTAGTGTATAGTGGTGTAGTGTATAGTGTAGTGTATAGTAGTGTAGTGTACAGTGTAGTGTACAGTGTAGTGTATAGTAGTGTAGTGTATAGTAGTGTATAGTGTAGTGTCTAGTGTAGTATATAGTGTAGTGTATAGTGTAGTGTGTAGTGTATAGTAGTGTAGTGTATAGTGTAGTGTACAGTGTAGTGTATAGTAGTGTATAGTGTAGTGTATAGTGTAGTATATAGTGTAGTGTATAGTAGTGTAGTGTATAGTGTAGTGTATAGTGTAGTGTATAGTAGTGTAGTGTATAGTGTAGTGTATAGTAGTGTAGTGTATAGTGTAGTGTATTGTGTAGTGTACAGTAGTGTAGTGTATAGTGTAGTGTATAGTAATGTAGTGTATAGTAGTGTAGTAGTGTATAGTGTAGTGTATAGTAGTGTAGTGTATATTGTAGTGTATAGTGTAGTGTATAGTAGTGTAGTGTATAGTAGTGTGGTGTATAGTGTAGTGCATAGTGTAGTGTGTAGTGTATAGTGTAGTGTATAGTGTAGTAGTGTATAATGTAGTGTATAGTAGTGTAGTGTATAGTGTAGTGTATAGTGCAGTAGTGTATAGTGTAGTGTATAGTGTAGTGTATATTATTGTAGTGTATAGTGTAGTGTATAGTAGTGCAATGTATAGTGTAGTGTATTGTGTAGTGTAGAGTGTAGAGTATAGTGTAGTGTGGTAGTGTATAGAGTAGTGTATAGTGTAGTGTAGTAGTGTATAGAGTAGTGTATAGTGTAGTGTATAGTAGTGTAGTCTATAGTGTAGTGTATAGTAGTGTATAGTAGTGTATAATAGTGTAGTGTATAGTGTAGTGTATAGTAGTGTAGTGTATAGTGTATAGTAGTGTAGTGTATAGTGTATAGTAGTGTAGTGTATAGTAGTGTAGAGTAGTGTAGTGTATAGGGTAGTGTATACTGTGCTGTATGGTGTAATGTATAGTGGTGTAGTGTATAGTGTAGTGTATAGTAGTGTAGTGTATAGTGGTGTAGTGTATAGTAGTGTAGTGTATAGTGTAGTGTATAGTAGTGTAGTGTATAGCGGTGTAGTGTATAGTCGTGTAGTGTATAGTGTAGTGTATATTAGTGTAGTGTATAGTAGTGTATAGTAGTGTAGTGTATAGTAGTGTAGTGTATAGAGACTCCTATAGACTCATAGAGACTCCTATAGACCCACAGAGACTCCTATAGACCCGTAGAGACTCCTATAGACCCGTAGAGACTCCTATACACCCATAGAGACTCCTATAGACCCACAGAGACTCCTATAGACCCATAGAGACTTCTATAGACCCGTAGAGACTCCTATAGACCCACAGAGACTCCTATAGACCCATAGAGACCCATGAAGGCCCACACTATAACGAAACTACGTTTAATGTTACCATCTGCCAGCTGTAAGGCCCCAACTGAGCAACCCCTCCCCCCCGAACCTAAGGTCGCGAAGCCGACGCCATCGTCAAAGAAGAGTTCCCGCCCGGCGAGATATCGAGCGTCTTCCCTTCCCCGCTCCCCCCGGCGGCGGCTGCCGATCGCCGCCCCTTCAAGCACGAGTTCCCGCCCGGCGAGCCATCGAGCGTCTTCCCTTCCCCGCTCCCCCCGGCGGCGGCCGAGGTCGAGGTGGTCCTGGAGGAGGCCGACCGCGGCGGAGGCCGGCAGGCGGCCGGGGGCGGCCGCCGGAAGGCCCCGAGGGCCAAGGGCTACCCCTGCCCCGAGTGCGTCGGCGCCTTCACGTGCCCATCGGCGCTGAGGACCCACGCCCTCACCCACACGGGCGAGAGGCCGCACGCCTGCGGCGCGTGCGGCGCCGGATTCGCCCGCCCCTCGGCCCTCAAGAGGCACATGATGTCGAGGCACGGCACGGCCCCGGCCAGGCCTCCGAGGCCTCGCCCGGGGGCCCTCGAGAGCGGCCGCTTGCCGGCGGCGGCGGCGGAGCGCGGCACCGCCGCCGAGGAAGACGAGGAGGACGAGGGGGACGAGGAGGACGAGGAGGAGGAGGAGGACGAGGAGGAGGAGGAGGAGGAGCCTCCGTCCGTGGAGTGCCCTGCCTGCGGCAAGGCCTTCCGCCAGCCGTCGGCGCTGAGCGTCCACCTCAGGACGCACTCGGGCGAGGGGGGCCGGGCCCACCGCTGCGTGGCGTGCAGCCGGGACTTTGTGAGCGTGTCGGCGTTCAAGGACCACGCCCTGACCCACGGCGGCCGCCGGCTGCACCGGTGCCCGCTGTGCTCCAAGAACTTTGCCAGGCCGTCGGCGTGCGCCCGCCACCTGGCCACGCACGACGCCGGGAGGCCGCACAAGTGCTTCGTGTGCGGCGGGAATTTCGCCGACCCGTCGAACCTCGACCTGCACGTGAGGTGCCTCCGGCACTACAGGTCGTAGGCCTGGACGTTGAGGCGCCTGAGGCACTACAAGTCCTAGGCCTGGACATTGAAGTGCCTGAAACACTACAGGTGCTAGGCCTGGACGTTGAGGTGCCTGAGACACTACAGGTGCTAGGCCTGGACGTTGAGGTGCCTGAGACACTACAAGTCCTAGGCCTGGACATTGAGGTGCCTCTGGCACTACAAGTCCTAGGCCTGGACTGCCTGAGGCACTACAGGTCGTAGGCCTGGACATTGAGGTGCCTGAGACACTACAAGTCCTAGGCCTGGACTGCCTGAGACACTACAGGTCCTAGGCCTGGACATTGAGGTGCCTGAGACACTACAGGTCCTAGACCTGGACATTGAGGTGCCTGAGGCACTACAGGTCCTAGGCCTGGACTGCCTGAGGCACTACAGGTCCTGGGCCTGGACATTGAGGTGCCTGAGGCACTACAAGTCCTAGGCCTGGACGTTGAGGCGCCTGAGGCACTACAAGTCCTAGGCCTGGACATTGAGGTGCCTGAGGCACTACAAGTCCTAGGCCTGGACATTGAAGTGCCTGAAACACTACAGGTGCTAGGCCTGGACGTTGAGGTGCCTGAGACACTACAGGTGCTAGGCCTGGACGTTGAGGTGCCTGAGACACTACAAGTCGTAGGCCTGGACATTGAGGTGCCTGAGGTACTACAGGTGCTAGACCTGCACGTCAGGCGCCTGAGGCACTACAATTCACACAACCTCACACACACTCACACAACAACAACAACCGCCATTCGCCACTAAGTGGTGGTGATGTTACCACGACGCTTGTGCCAGGCCATCTACACCTTGAGGCCACGTGAAGTGTCGAACGCCCGCTGGCAGGAGGTCACGGGGCAGACCCAGCAGGTGCCACGGGTCGACTGACTGAGATGACCGAGATAACTGGCTGATGCACCACCTGTGCCCCCTACTGTGCCAACCTGCTGTGCTTTAGCCACCCGGCGCTCCGCTCGTTGTTGTGAGCGTCGCTCCTCCGCCCTCCGTTGTTGTTGGAGGGCGACTACCTCCAACTGCCCAGTAGCGTCCTTCACGAGCCTCCTCCACAGAGGCCGATCTTGACACCGCTGGTACCGGTCATCAGCAAGTCTGCTCAGCTCCACGTCCTCCTGTACCACATCACTCCATCTCTTCTCTAGCCCGTGCCGCGCCCGTTTAGCCCCCTCGATCCAGCTGAACAACAGCTATAAGAATAGGTTTTACCCTTTCTGGCATATTAAACAGTTGTGTTAAGATGTTAAAACACCAAACTGAAACTTTTTGCAAGGAATCTTGCCTGCATCAACCACATATTTGTGGTGAACATACGAACAAAGCAACACGCTCTGGTAGTACATGATGATGATGATGCATCGTCTTCGAAACTGATTGGTCCACACCAGAGACGGCTTTCTTTAGAGCCTCGTCTCACTAACGGCGCTAGACCAGAGGACGCCAAAAGGCGAGCAGCACAAAGACGAAGCTTTCGTGACTGCAGGGATTCATGAGGCTATCCACACAAACAAACACAGAGACAATTTCAACCGAGAAGATGGATTCTGGCTTAGCAATCATTGGAAGGATTTGATAAACTAATTTCGGGTCTCGATTTAAAGCTTTCATGACTGCAAGGATTCATCTTCTTTGGTTCTTTCGGTAAAGTCACGTAGAATGACAATAAAATAATAAATTGATAGAATAAAATAACACAATAATATTCTCACGACGTTTCGGCCACAACACAAGCGGCCTTCATCAGGTGAAAGGACGAGACTGTCTGGTAGGACAGCGCTGGAGCGAGAAAAGCCACGTTCAGATCACGACCTTTAAGCTGTGTGAGAAGAAACAAAGCGCCTTGACAAAGGAATTAGCATATAATTTAGCATTGAAATGGTTGAGTGATTAGCTTGTGACTGGTCACAGAAATGGCTATGTTAAAGTTAAAGCATACACATCCGCAGAGGCACCCCTTGACAAAGGAATTAGCATAGAATTTAGCATTGAAATAGCTGAGTGATTAGCTTGTAACTGGTCACAGAAATAGCTATGTTAAAGTCAGAGCATACACATTCACCGAGGCACCTAGTACAAATCAAACAGGAGAATTTAGCATTGAAATAACTAGGCGAATTTAGCATTGAAATAACTGAGTGATTAGCTAGTGACTGGTCACAGAAATGGCTATGTTGAAGTCAAGGTCTACACATCTGAGCTATTCACAGTAACTAGGTATACAATACAATGTATAATGAATACTATATAGTGAACCAATAAAAAACTAAAATATAAATTACCTTAATGTTATCAATAAACTCTATATTCTCCAATCAGCTAAGATACCAAAAATAAGTCGTTATATATCACAATGCTATATGGCGAAAAATGGGTGGATTCTTACCCTCAACTTTAGCAACACGGATAGCTACGGGCCCCGTTCAGACGGACGAGTTCATCCATGGTCGGAACAGAGACGTGACTTTACCGAAAGAACCAAAGAAGATAATTTCGGGTCTTAATTGATTGTTCATGCTTACGGTGGCTTTCAGACCGCATCCATTATTTTCGTCTCCCCCCTCCTCTTTTCCGAACATAGATGGACTCGTCCATCTGAATAAAACTGTCAAATCGCTCTCTGTGGTGCTAACGTTAAAAAACGCCACTTTTTTCAAATTGTCTTGCTGTGGTTTTCACACCTGATGATGATTGCTTGTGCTGCAGTCGAAACGTCGTGAGATTTGTATTGTTTTATATTTTTATTATTTCATTGCTTCCCTTCTACGTGGTGGTGACTTTACCGGAAGAACCAAGAATAATAATTGTATTGTTTTACAATAATTTTATTGTTTTATATTTTTATTATTTTATTGTTTCCCTTCTACGTGGTGGTGACTTTACCGAAAGAACCAAGAATATAGCACAAAGACAACGCCGCTATCAGCACATTGAGAGCTCGGGGTGATTGGCAGGCCCAGGCCCATGCCCTCCAATCACTCCAGACCAGGTGCCAGCATCATGACCAACTCGGGCATTGAAGTCACCCAACAAGATGACTTTATCCCGAGGGGCCACTTTAGCCAGCACCTGTGACAGGAGGTCATAGAAGGCATCTGACTCATTGGCCTTGCCTGCATCCCTCCACGGATGTTCGTCTTCAGTGGGGGCATAAGTAACCACGACCACCACTCCTCGCCTCTGGTTGATGGGCAGGCGAGCCCAAAGTAGCCTGGGGCTTACAGCTTCCCACACCTCACCGCCATGCTCCCACGCCCCCTTCATTCTTTTGTTCAAAAGAAGAGCCACTCCCTGTTGTTTGACAGTCTCCTGCCCCGAGTAAAGGACTGTCCACCCCTCATGGTGGCAGGAGCCAGAACCGGTCCACCAGACCTCCTGAATGCCGCATAGATCCAGGCGGTACCGGTCCAGCTCCCGACAGAGCAGTGGCAGCCTCTCTTCCAGCAGTGAGCGTTCGAACATTCCACGTGGCCACAGGAAGTGGCTTTTCGTTGTTTCTAGAGGAGCCCCGAGGGTAGAGATTCAATCTCCTGGCTCTGCCAATTGGGGTTTGTCTAGGAGACGTCATAGACGCCTGGCCCCCCGGGGCCTCCGGCACAAGCTTGGTTGATATTTTTCCGTGGTTTAGTGGTATTTGGATATAAGGTTGGAGGGGTTCCCAGCCCCTCACACCCGTCCAGAGCTACCTTTGGTCGCTGTGGTGGCTACAGACGCCATGAGTGGAATGGCCAATAGAAATTGGCCCTCCCCCCGTGTCACTGCCCACCACAGAGTTACCGTCCGGCACCAACACACACTCAACAACAACAACAACAACCGCCATTCGCCACTAAGTGGCGGTGACGTCACCACGACGCTTGTGCCAGGCTATGTGCACCCTGAGGCCACGTGAAGTGTCGAACGCCCGCTGGCAGGAGGTCACGGGGCAGACCCAGGTGCCACGGGTCGACTGACTGAGATGACTGGCTGATGCACCACCTGTGCCCCCTACTGTGCCAACCTGCTGTGCTTTAGCCACCCAGCGCTCCGCTCGTTGTTGTGAGCGTCGCTGCTCCGCCCTCCGTTGTTGTTGGAGGGCGACTGCCTCCAACTGCCCAGTAGCATCCTTCACGAGCCTCCTCCACAGAGGCCGATCTTGACACCGCTGGTACCAGTCATCGGCAAGTCCACTCAGCTCCACGTCCTCCTGTACCACATCACTCCATCTCTTCTCTAGCCCGTGCCGCGCCCGCTTAGCCCCCTCGATCCGGCCAAACAAAAGCTGTTTCGGCATGCGGTGGTTGGGCATGCGGGCTACATGACCCAGCCATCGCAGCCTTGCCTGCCGGAGGAGCTCACCGATGGGACCCTGCCCAGATCTTTCAAGGATTTGTGAGCTCCTCACACAATCCAGTCTGGTTAAACCCAGGATGGATCGTAGGCAGGCCAGCCTAATGTTTCTAACCGGCGAAGATGTTCCATTAGGGGGGTCCACGTTTCGCAAGCGTAGAGAAGGGAGGGAATGACCGTGGCCGAGAAGACCTGAAGCTTAGTGCGGAGCGACAGACCAGGTAGCTTCCACACAGCGTTACGCAACCGATGAAAAGATATTGCCGCTCGACTGATTCGGAGTGAGACCTCTGCTGTTAAACTGGAGCCAGTCATAAGCACACTGCCCAGGTATGGGAAACTCTCCACTCTCTCCACCACTGCCCCATCACCGATTGGGAGTTGTGGGGGTGGAGTGTCCGATGGTACAAAATACCCAGGCAGGTGCTTAGTTTTGGTGGGGCTGATGGTAAGGCCCCACCTCTTAGTGGCACGCTCCAGTCTCAGCAGCAGTGTCTCCAACTCCTCCTCTGACTGAGCAGCTATTACCAAATCATCAGCATACATAACGTGATTGAGCAATAGGGAGCCATCCCTTGACCGCACCCGGGCATCGATTAGCCTCCCATTATATCTGTACCATATGGAGATTCCCCCGGTACAGCTATTGAAGGCTTCACGAACTACGTGGTCAAAATAGATGTTAAATAATGTGGGAGCCAGAGGACATCCCTGTCGCACCCCAAGGTGTACAGGGAATGGCTCTGACTCCCGGCTACGTAGTTTTACCCGGGCCCGCTCACCATCATGAAGGTCCTTAATGATCGTGAGCAGAGGGTCAGGTACTCCAAAAGCACGAAGAACGACCCAGAGCCCAGGCCTACTGATGGTATCATAGGCCTTGACCAGGTCAATAAAGCAGAGATGTAGGTCTTGTTGGAATTCCCTACACCTCTGCTGTAGCAGACGGACAGAAAATATGGCATCTGTGCAGGACCGCCCTTTCCTGAAACCGCATTGGGGCTCCGCAAGCCTCTCCTCAGCGTGCCTGGCAAGGCGATGCTGAATAATCCTTGCCAGGACCTTTCCCGGCACACTGAGGAGTGAGATGCCCCTGTAGTTGTTACAGTCTGTGCGGTCCCCCTTCTTAAAAAGGGGGACCACCAGGGCATCCTTCCGATCCTGCGGAATCCGTCCAGTGGTCCAGACTGTTGTTATTATGTCATATAGGGCAGTCTGTGCACAAACGCTTCCTCAGCATTTCGTTTGGGAGATCATCTCTGCCCGCTGCCTTTCCTGGTCTCAGACTCCAGATCGCCTTCAATACTTCCTCAGCAGATGGCACCTCAGCCAGCCACTCACAGGGGGTGACTTCTTCCAATTTTTGAGGCACCGCAGCCTCAGCAGGGTCATCCTCACCTTGTGCCACGATGTTTTCCTGGCTGTGGGATTTTCCCTCCCCCAGGACCTCACAGAAATGCTCAGCAAATCTGCGAACCTGTTCCTGGGGGTC